CTCTACTAATTACGCATAAATGCGCATTCTTTTAAATCGATAGTATTAAGTCCTATTTTAAGAGCAGCGATATTTTCTTCATTGGATTACTTGTTGTGAAAACATGTATTCTACAAATGGTATCTATGATCAAATCAAGTTCATTTTTTCAAAAGTTTTTACTGAATTGATTGATCTTCTTATTTTTAGGCCAAGTGAAGTTTTAGAAAAAGTACGAATATTCGTAAGAAATAAAAACGACTGATATTGTTGCACACCCTCCGACAGACGATATCTGTTGAGAATATATCAACTATTAGTATTGAATATTGATAAATGATTCTGGGAGTGTAACTGTAAATACCAGGTCTCTTCAAGGTGTTTTTAGAACTTGAAAAGAACCCGTGGAGACATCGGCGGGCCAGCGTCTTTTTTTTAGGTGTGGCAAAATTTTTAAAATATTTGAGGGCGTCATAAGAAGTTAATTACAAAATCTTGTTAGTGTACGTGCATTTTCATAAGAAAGAGTTTCTATATTAGTAATTCTGTTCATTTTATTTTTATTATTTCTCTAAAAATTCAAAAANTTTTTTATGTTAGATGGCGCTATGAAAACCATCTGTATTCTAAGATTTGAGTAGTGAATTACATATTTCCATATTTGAATATTTCTATGTAAATGAATTAATTGAATCATTTTATACTTTAAATCAATATTTTAGTCGATTATTAATTGATTATCATCTACTATAATATTATACATTAATAATTCATCAAAATAATCTAACATCATTATCTATTGATCAAATAAATATAATTTCCAATCGAATGAATAAATTGAATACTATTTGTTAAGCTACGTGTTGTCAGAATAGAGAAATAATTGAATGATTTTTTAGCACTATTCCTCATACTTAGGATGAATCAATGGCATACTCACGTCAAGTGTAGAAATTTATAGGGAGAAAGTTGCACTTTTCGAATATTCCAGATTATGAAATGATGTTCTTGCATTATTTTATAAGATTCTTATATAAAAAGTTGACTTTCACTGTCACTCTCACAATTGATAATAAGTGACCATTACATGTTTAGGTTGTATTCGACTTATCCATTCATCAACCGACTTAATTTATCCGATTGCTATTCAAAATATTCAACATGTTATCATGTTAACACACTGCACTCATTTGTTTAGGTTGATTTATTGGTCCGATGGAAACTTTTCTATTTAGCACAACGCATAAATATTTATTAAAATATAAAAACTTATGATTATTCAATTCATTGAAATTATGAAAAGCGGTATTTTTAATTTATTATTAATTTGAACCGCTGTTAATTTAATTTACTAGTAAATTAAATTAAAATTAACTTTAAATTGGCATTCCTATTCTATTCATTCATCTGTTGGGAAAAGATCTCAAAATTAAAAAAAAATAGAATTTTGTGGAAGTTCTTTTTGTAAACACTTGCACATTTGATATCAAAATATAAATAATAACTCTAATATTTGATACCTTTTTTACTAATGTAAACAGAGATAATAAAGGCTTGCAATATTTGTTTTCTTCAATCCAATTAAAAATAGGCTTTTTAAGCAATCGATCGACTTCTCTAATTTATTTCTTTTTATCACCTTACTTTATATAAGATATTTCTAAAGAAAATTTGAAGAAGAATAAATGGTATTAGATTAAAAAATAATTATTAAAATTTCTTGTCCGAATGATTTATTTTATATTGTCCAAATAAATATGTAAGAATAATAGAGAATTTATCATTCAAATATTATTTTTGCATAAGATGTATTTACCACGATAGCGCTTACTACAATATTTTACTGATTGTTTTCTAAATGGAAAATGATTTGTGTCGCATGAACTCTTACATTTGCAAGCATGAATACATTTATAATGTGTAAATATTTGACAGGTTTGAATAAAACTGATGTTAGGTAAAACAGTAGAATCTAATTTTCATAATTCACCTGGGTTAGCATGAGATATGTCGATGAAATCAATCAAAAAAAATGAGCCAACGAAGATCCCCATTTGAACTTGCCACTTTCTACGATGTATTGAAGGATTCCTCTTGTTGACATATCTGAATTTTTTTATGAGGTAATATTGATCACGCTGTACTTGATCGATCAGCATCAGTAATTTTCAGATTTGCTATGTCATCAACTTTAAAAGTATTTTGTTTCACTAAATTACGTTGCTAGTGCTTAAACTGATGTTCTCAATTTTATACAAAGTTTATGCTTATGTAAATTGGTATAAATATTTGTTTTCCTAAATGTAGTATATAAGAAAAAACAAATATGCATAATTTCATTTTAATTCAAAAAGAGAAAAAAATACCTACCGTACGAATGTAATTCTTTTCAGGTTCATCTCGAATACGTTTATGCGATGCATGAGTGCAATTTCTAACATGAAATAAGAATAATATATAAGATTTCAGCCAATAGAAAATAAAAATTTATCCTTCAGTTTCAGCTTGATGTCTGGTCGATGATAGCATTGGAATTGACGGGTGACTATCAGTATACGTACAACCATTATGAATAAAGTAAAAAAATCTAATATAAGAAACGATGAATTATCATATGAAGTTAATCATCAATTAAATCAGAACCATTGATAACTGATTGAGGTACATCTTCTTCATTAGCAATAATTTTATTACGTGGCTGCTGATAAAGTGCCATCCAAAAGTCATGATCATTTCGTACAGATTTGATCGAAAATGATTTCATATGATGTTTGTTTTTGTGCTTTGCGAAACATAATTGTTCAAAGCAAACATAACGAGACCTTAGCAATATTTTTTTTTAAAAGATCATAAATTTTGAAAATTATCTTTCGAAATAGTAAATGCTAAGCCATTAGATCAATCAAGTGATCTATTTGTTTCTTACCATTTGTCTAACATCTTCTGAACTACAGTACTAACTTTTTCTATGGTTTCTTAACTCTGTGAATATCATGGGCGTCCATTATTAATAATCAAATCAAGCCAATTTGGTCTAAACTTCAAAATAATGCCAGCTCTAATATGCATACAATTCTACTAATTTAAAGTAGAAGTTATCTTTACATAAATTCTTTTTCATTATCCGACTGCAGTATTTCCACTGGTCCAAATGTATAAAAAATATTCCTTAAATCAAGAACAACATGAATTGGTTCATTTGATGGCAATGGAAATAGCCAGTTGAATTTTGTAAAATGATCTTTTATATGCAATATAAAATTAAATCTATCGTATGGCAAACTTTGCATATCAATTAAATCAACTTCCCATCTAGTTCAAAAACTGATCGAAATAATTGATTTATCACTAGTTGCTTTTTGAAATGATCTTCTTGTTTGACAAATGTCGCACGTATTCATAAATATAAACAACCAGCTGTGGAATTCGAACAAAAGAACATCGCTTAACCTATTTAAAATGACAGTACGAATTAATAACAAAAACAAGCATAGAAACCTAAGCCCAAGTTTTGTCGCACCCGAAATGATTAATAGCTATATGACAACCTTTCATCTCTTCGTGGCAGATTATTTTTTACAGTATATATCAAAATCTTATGATCCTATTTCAACAAGACAAAATATTATTCGAACTCAAAACTTGATTTTGAATGACATATTTACATTTGGTGCTTTAAGAACATTCATAATATTTAAATACATATCGCTCTTGATTATATAATTCGCTCTTTTTTATCATCAAATGTATTGGTATATGATCCAAGTTTTTCATTAAAATTATCCATGTTAACAAATTTTGACGCAAAAAAAACAGATTAACTTAAATAATCAAATGATTTGACATAATTAATCTTCATTTGTTGCATATTTCATAGCAATGATCATCAATAAATAAGAGTCAAGCCAATAAACAAGAGACTATCAAATTTATTGATTAGTAAATCCTACTTGACAGTTTAAATACAAAAAGAAATTCGTCAGTATTTTCTAACGATACAAATAAATTAATTTCAAGTAAAACATTTTTATATGTCCTTATTATGACGGAAAGACTTACTCGCTTTCGTTTTATTCCAAGAACAAATGAATACATGTAGCATGAACGCGATGAAAACTGATAAAACAGAGAAAAGAAAAACAAATAAAGATAAGATTAGTACAGCATAAATAGAAGAAAAGAGATAGTTAATATATGCATCCACATGCATGCATGTGGCACATGTTCTCAAATATGGACATAAAAAATAGTGACGGATAGAATCTGTCACACTTATAATATCATAGCATGAGTAAGACAATGAAGATTAATTATAATATGGCTCATATCAGCAATATAACACAGTATTCAAAAAATGAAATGTATCAGAAGGAGGGTGTGGGTGTGGGTGTGGGTCTCCTCTTCATTTATATCCACAACTTGTGGCGTAACCAGAGGTGGGTATGCCAGGGCGGCGCCCGAGCACCGACAGTTTTTGCTCGGGCACCGGAAAAATTTTAAAATCTAATAATTACCATTAAAATGTTTGTTTTCTTTTTGTTGTATAGAAAATAGCTGTGAAAAAAACAGTTAGTGACACCTGTAGGATAAAGTTTAGACACACTGATGAGTAATAAATATTAGTCGCTTGTTTACTTTTAGTTTCTGTATATATATCAGATAATAAAATAACCAATTCATTACTTCATAAATAGCGTATCAAAAATCAGTTTCTTTAATTTTGAAATGGAGAAAACTTCTAAAGAGTCTAAACGTGAAACTATTGAGTCGTTTTTTAGTTCACAGGCTATAAAAAAGAAAAAACGTGATTCTTCTTTGATCTCAAAGTGAGTTAATAGTCAATCAAATAGTTTAGATTAACATATCACAATCTACAGGTGAACAACAGCAAGAATCAATTACTCCATCTTCTTCAAATAATCAACAACGTGAACACAGTCATTCATTTCCTACAGGTGAACAACAGAAATCATCTTCAAATAATTAACAACGAAGACAAGTATATTTATTGTTTTTTACAAATGAACAAAAAGAATTATCTTCAAAATAATCAACAAAGTGAACAATTTCATTCATTTTCTACAAGTGAACAACAACCATCATCTTCAACTTTTTCAAATAATCAAGAATCTGAACAAAGTCATTCATTTCCTATAGGTGAAGAACAAGAATCATCTTCAAATAATCAACAACGAAAACAAATGCATTCTTTTTTTTACAGATGAACAACAGGAATTATCTTCTTAAAATAAACAGCAACGAGAAAAAATTCATTTATCTTCATCATCAAAAACACCAGTTTCAAACATTACTGACATCAGTCGTTCATCTGATGGATTACTCGCACAACCAAAACTTGCTTCTTATCCAATAAATAAAGCAAAAAGATCTTTTCATACTAAATGGTTTTCAAAATTTAGTTGGTTAGAATATTCAGAACAAACAGATTCCGCCTATTGTTATTATTGCAGGCACTTTGGTACTAGGATAAATTTAAATAATCGAATAATGAATTTTTTTCTAATACATAGATTTCTTTTTCAACACTCAATTCCTTTTCTTTCTCTTTTCCATCTGCTGTGATAGAGTTGATTTTCTTTTTAACTCATGTTTAGAATCAAAGTGATTCATTTGTGCGTGGTTTTAACAGCTGGAAACGTGCTTTCTATGCTAATCAAGGATTTTTACATCATCAAAATTCTCAATCTCATAAATTAGCTGAAATTAATTACAAACAATACATTGTACGTACATCATCTGCTACAACTGTATTACAAGTAATGGATAAATCAAGAAATGAATTAATAAAACGTAATCGTGAAAAATTAATTAAAATTGCCTCGACATTAAATTTATATGCTCGACAAATGATTGCAATACGAGGACATGAAGAAGATGAATAGTAAGTGTGTCCTAAGGAATAAACTTTTAAAATTTTTTTTTCCAATAGATCATCAAATCGAGGAAATTTCATCGAACTGCTACGTTGGGCTAGTAGCACTGATCCAGTTGCTTGCTTTGCCTATTCTTGAAGATAGTGATCGAAATGCAACTTATCTTAATCCAACTATACAAAATGAAATAATTTCTCTTTTAGCAAATCAGATTCAACAACAAATATCGAAGAAAGGAATATTACTTTAATTTCATTAAAAGACTTCAACCCTCTTATTCTTACTCTTTTTCTAGATTAAAGGATGTGTTTTTTCACTAATGGCTGATGAAACACATGATGTATCGGGACACGAACAACTCAGTATAGTTGTACGTGTTATCGATCATGAAGTTAAAATAAGTAATGACTTAAATCAACAGTCATCTCTATTTAAAGAATATTTTCTTGGTTTCATCAAACTTGATAAATTTGATGCACAAACATTAACTAACGAAATTGTAAAGTTTTTATCATCTTTAAATATCAATTTAAAAGATTGTATAGCTTTGTGTTTTGATGGGTAGGAGCAATGAACGGTTCATAATCAGAAGATAGCATGTAATATTTCTTCTTTTAGTGCATCAGTCATGTCGGGGAATAATGCTGGGATTCAGGCGTTGTTACGTCAACAATATATTCCCAATGCAATTTATGTACATTGCTATGCACATAAATTGAATCTTGTCATATGTGATGTTACAAGTGCTGTTCCATACTTATCAGAATTCTATTCAATCATTAATAAAGTTTACACTTATTTTCATACATCAAGTGTTATGAACGAAACACTGAAATTAGTTCAACAACAATTAAATTTAAGTAAGATTATTTCGAATTTATTTATTAGCAGCGAAAACAAATTATTTTCTTTTCATGGAAAACTCTAATAGCTCAACCACTACAATCAAAAAATGGGCTGAAACAAGATGGGATAGTCGTTGAACATCCATCCATTCTATTATCCAAAATTATAAAGTTTTAATTAAAAGTTTAGAAGAATCAGAAGATGAAGGTACAGAGCGTTCGATAGATGCACGTGGTTTATTATTAGCTTTGAAAGAACCATTATTCGTTGCCACTATTTTCATTTTGGATTATCTACTTGGTAAAATCAAAATCCTATCCGATCAATTAAAATGTAAGAATTTTCCTTTAGACCTGAGATGTCTTTTCTTTTCTGACTTAATCGTTAACTTTACCTCCTTTTTCCTATTTTTCTAGCTAAACCACTCGATTTTGGTGCAGCTCATTATTTGATTAGTTCTGTTATTAATCAAATTAGTGACCTTAGAAATGAAGAAGAGTTTTTCAAACTATGCGATAACATTACTGAATTTTCTGCTGAAAATAATATCTATTTGAATGTTAAAATGAAGGAAAGAAGAATAAAAACAACTTCTACTAGATTTACAAATTATTTCATTAGATCTACAATTGGACAGCGTGAGGAAATTGATAGTAAAAATAAATACAGAATATTTGTTTTCTATCCAGTAATTGATTCCATTCTTCTTGAAATGAATGATCGTTTATCGAAAACAAATATGGAAATTCTTCATAGTATTTCATCACTATCACCTGATAGTCCAACATTTTTAGAAATAGAAGCATTGAAAGCTTTACGTGTAATATTACAATCTGATATTCACTTGTTACATAATGAAATTCAAGTACTAAAACCAATGTTGAAACAATTAAAACTAAAAAATATGATCAATTTGTATTTTGAAATTTTACCATTAAAACAAGCATTTCCATGTATGCTATCACTTCTTATTGGTGCAATGACAATTTCAGTATCATCAACCACAACAGAAAGAACTTTTAGTAAAATGAAGCACATTAAAACTGTTGCACGTAACAGTATGTCCGACAATAGGCTCAGTGATTTATCATTACTAGCAACTGAGGGAGATGTTTACATTGATTATGAAAAGATAATTGATGCGTTTGCTATTCAGCATAAGAACAGTCGAATAATTCTTAAATAGCTGTTGTTTGTTTGATATTTTTCTCTTTCTTATGACTTAACCTCATTTGGTAAAATAAAAGATTGATTGTTTTGTTTCTTTCTTTAGAAAAGCAAAAGTAGAAAGACTCAATTGAGCATCGGAGAAAATTTTAACTATTGTGAATGACTTTTTTTAAAGGCTGTGGAGCACTGCCTGGGCACCCACGATTTCCTGGTTACACCACTATCCACAAGCAAACTCACACTTACACTTATACTGAAATGCACATAGCTACTGTAACACACTAGTGTACAGATTTCTCTTGCTGACCATTGGCCAGTTAGGAAAAGCAGGCCATTAGTTCGGTAACCAATACACATGACTCGCCAAATATGGGGGTACTATGACCGTTGGTTGACTAAAGTAAATAGCTAATTGCTCAGTTACAAGGACAAAACAGTCTCACAACTATATACATATATATATATAGATTGTACAGACCATTTTTTTCCTCAGATCGCCGGGTATACCGATAAGATTTTAATATCCAAGTCTGTCAGAAATGATTTAGCCGAGATTTTTTGTGTAGGTGCGCGTTTGGTTGCGGATCTAAATGAAGAAAAGGTTCACATCTACATAGCACTCGAAACCACAAGGCAGTCGAAAGACGGGATATTCTTTCTGCTTTCATTGATGATCGACGTTGAAATGAACTTATTTTATATACTTTAAATAATAATCATGTTCACTAGTACAATTCACATATTAGAATACAAAATGAATTTTAGAATAAAAAACACTTGCATTGTATATTTCAATAAGAGTGAATGTCTAGAAAGCTGAAAATAAGAAGATCTTCTTTTTAAAATAAAATTGTGATGCAACACTTCTTGCAAAAGTATGGATATTTTTAGGCTAAAAAAATTATTGAGAGAGAGTCCCCTTAAAATTGCGTCATCCGAAAAGGAGCAAAATGATCCAAAAACTGATTACATGATTCCCGAAAAGCTATTTTCTTTTTTGAATTTTCATTTAATAATTTTCTTTCAGTGGTTGTCCAGCCATTTGTTTGGATATGGGTCATTTAGTTTTGCAACAAAGCAATATTATTAATAATGGTGACCAAGAAACAATGGTTAGATCTTAATTTTTTAATTTAATTCTTCAATTTGATTTAATATTTTTTCCACTAGGATAATTACATTCAATTTCAATTAGAATTAAAAAAATTTCAATTACTTTATGCTAATAAATGTAAATTGTGTTTTTTTTGCTTGCTTTGAATAGATTAAATTATTGTCCAGTTGTATAGATGAAAATTGGCACAATGCACGTCAACAAGAAGCTACTCATTTGCATTTAATTAAACCAATAACACTCTCTATAAATCTTTTCAAATGTCTTTATTCGGACAATATCAATTTTCCTGTGTATGTGTTATTCAAAATAAATTTATTTTTATTTTCATGTTTTTTTTAGTTGGAAGATTTCTGGACAAATTTCAACTGTAGATATACGAATTTCGGATATGCGCTTGTTTAAGATTATTAAACATATTCAATCACTTTCATTTCCACAATCAAAACATCGTGCGATAACAACCGTAGAAAATAAAACTGAACTATGGACGATGACGCCTCTAATCGATATTACTCAACAGACATTAGAGACAATTGAAAATATGACACCTATGAAAAAGGTTTTGCAAAAATTGGCTGATGAAAATCAAGAAATTCAAAACAAAGTCGAAGAACAATTTACACAAATTGAAGCTAATTTTAAAATTTCACAAGTAATTATTAAGAGAAGCATTATGATACTTTCTAATGTGCACGGCACTCGATAATAATTATTTTTTGTGCATTTAATGCATCGATGTCTGAAACCATCAATTCCAAAATTGAAGTTTCCAATACTCTGTCTTTCAAAAGTTAGCCAATACCGATTTTCTCCCAGTATCATGTCCTGATGAGAAAAACAGCAAACAATACCCTATACAAGTTGTGCTCGTTTTCATTTCAATGAATTATTCAAATTTTTATGACTGATACTAAAAAAAGAGAATTAATAACTAAACAAAATGAGCTATTTATAATGTCGATAGACTCAAGTATCATAAGGCCAACATGAATGAAAAATGCCTGCTTTGACGAATCTAAAATACCCCATTCGAGAACAATCTCTCTTCTGTCCATATTCAGAATAGCAAAGCTCCAAGTTGAATTTTACATGTGTTATGCAATTTTTTATTTTGTATAAAAGGGCTGAAAATATTCAAAAATAGAGAATATTTTCAGGGCGTAAGGGGGTTCATGGCTCTCTTTCCTACAGAATAATTTTTCAGTAGAAAAAAGTGTCAGCAGTTTTCATTACCATGCTACAATTGTAAAGCAAAATAAATACGACTTTCGAAACCAGCGTGAATAACTACATTAAACGAAATACATTTTAGAGAATGTTTTTTTCCCATGAAAAACTCACCTGTAGTCTTCGACAGCTGTATTTTATTAAAATTTTGTCAAGTGATCTCCCGTATGTCAGTCTATTGTAGAAAAAAGAATCTCTAAAAAGTATTTGATTCAATATAATTTTTCACGCTGATTCGAAATGTCGTACTTATTAAATGTGAATAATGTTTCGTCTCGAAAATACCTTTTGTAGAGAATAAAAAGTTGCGTAACATGGTTTCATGATTCACTTTTTTATAACAAATCAAAAAAACTTACACTCATTATTTAGATCGATCTTCTTCTCGAAGAAGAAAAAGAAGATAAAGATTATCCATTTCTTCGTATTTCATTTGTATCAATGTATGTACACACATTCGTCAAAACATTTGACATAGAATTCCAAGCATCACTAGATGATTTGATTATTTATCATGAACAGTTCATAACAAAAGATAATCACAATCTTCGTTTTCTTGCTGCTCAACATGAAGAAAATAAAATTATCGATAAAATAAATTCAAAGAAATTAGTTAGCATACATATTTTGCATACATCATTAGATAATCCATTGTTTACATCGTCGAAATATGATGGACTTGAAAATAAAGTTCGAATACATTTGAGCAAACTGATTGTTACATTACAATTAGAAGCATTATTATCCATCATGAAGTTTCAAGATAATATCATGCAAAAATGGCCAACAGATATATTTGAAGAACAAATTAAAAAAGAACAATTACTTGGAAAAATATCTGAAGAAAATAAAACAATGTCTACTATCGGAAAATTTGTTAAAACAAATCGTAAGAATTTTCTATGTGAATATTATATTGATTTTTATTTCTATTTAAGGTCTATCATCTGCAAGCACAATCGAAATCGAAGCTAATTTAGAAGAATTTCATATTGTTATTGCAACCATGGATACTCAAATGTTTGATATTTATGTTCATGGTTTGATCTTTTTCTAATTTTTCCTTTGAGATTTTTTTTTGTGTAAAGGTGTCAAAGCCAATATGCATAATACATCTAATGAAACATTTGTCAATTTAATTCTTACCGATTTTTATATGTTTGATCCTCATGTGGATGCACGATTTCGAAAGGTAAACTTTCAATATTATTTAAAAATGAAGTCTTACAATTTAATCTGTTTCATCTTAGACTCTGAATCGATTAATTCCAATATAAATGTAAAAAGCTTTCAGCATAATCCTTGCATGATCCTATCTATTTTTGAGCGCATTTCTTTACCATTTTGTTTTACTTAATCCTGCAGAAATGCGATAAATAGTTCGTATACCTATAACGAGGGGCAATGAGTGTTATTAAGATGCCTGCCATAGTCTATGGGGAAGAGTTTAATATTCTACCTTACATACTTCAGCACTTCAATTTCTTCTATTTAAATTTCGTAGCTCATTCTTGATATGATAAATAATATGTTTCATTTGAAAAAGAGGTTCACGTTTAACGAAGATTTCAAAGGAAGAAAACTTTCTTGGGCTCAATAGCATAGCGTTGTTCAAGACTAATAGGATCGTCCTTATTAGTATCTCATTTTTGTCTTTGTTTTCTGTTCATTGTTGATATTTGACTGAGGAAATATGAAATGATTCGACTGATCATATGATTGGTTGAACATACATCTATTTGTTTAGATTATTTCGCAACAAAGTGGAGACAATGAATTACTATCAGTTTCTATGGTTCTCTTTAACTATCCTAAAAAACATACAAAAACCCTTGATGATGTCGACTGTAGTGTCAAAATTAATTTTGCCAAGGCAAACATATTATTTCTTTATAAACATATCGATCAAATAATGGTAAGTTATCAAACATATTCACAATATCTTTATCTAATCAACGATAATATAGGGATTTCTTGACACATTGAATATCTCAAAAGCAGCACTTGAACTTAGTCAATATCAAACTGATGCTATTTATGAACAAATACAAAATTTACAAAATCAAGCATTTAAATTACGTCTAAATGCTACATTTAATGCACCAAATATTATTGTTCCCATAAATGCCTATTCAGATGAAGCATTATTCCTTGATTTAGGAAAATTAATATTAGAAACAAAATTTATTGATGACCCAAAAACATTTCTTGTTGAACAACAACAAGTTAACATTGAAAATGTTCGTGCTAGTCGAGTTAAACTCAATAAAAATAATGAAATACAAAGTGAAATCATTCTACTCGAATGTGCAAATTTAAAAATCGATATTGATAGACTTTTATATCCTGAAAAAATAAAAACTGAAGCATATATTTCGCTTAAAATGCAATGGGATTTTATTCATGTAGGCTATTTAATAATCATAATTGAATATATTTTTTTCTTTCAGTTTCAATTAGCTAAAAATGATTATTTATGTGTAATGAAAATTTTGATGGAAAATTTTCAAGATCAAACAATAACAAATGTTGTTATTCGTGAACAATATCATTATCGACAAGAGCAACAAAAACGAGAAGAAGATGCTTTACGAAATGCTGTTATTAAAAAACAAAAAGGTTTGATAATTTCAATAATTAGATATTAATCATATTTGTTCGATCATAAAACTATCTGCTTTTTAGAGTCAATTATTGTGGAAATAAAAGAGAATATGATATTAAACATATTTATTTGTTTTTTTTTTTCAGAATGGCAGATTGGTCAAATACTTGAAAAAATTAAAGTTCATGCTACAATCAAGAAACTTGCACTAACTCTTTATCTGGGTGAATCAAATTTGGTTCGTTTTGCTTCGTATCTTTTATTATTTACGTCACTCTTATATTAAATATAGATTAATCGTCATGTAAAACATGAAGAAAGTTTGAAATTAGCTAATGTAGAAGTTGATATATTCGAAGTTATCTTTCGACAACATTCAAATTCAAGCTATAAAGTCGTAGCACGTGTAAAAAACTTTCTATTTGATGATCTACGAGAAACACATCAAGCAGATGCTGTTGTACATATGATGGATCGACATTTTACTGTTGATCCAAATGCGTACATGCTTATAGCTACTTTAGAATTTCAACCAAAAGATCAAACATACTTAATAGCTCGACAAAAAAGTAAATAAATTTAATAAATCATTAATAAAGATTTTTTTTTCGGTTTATCATTATAGTAAATGTTCAATTGGAAAGTCTTTATATTTGTATTAAATTAGATTATTTGATGATATTACAAGATTTTTTCATGTCAAACTTGCCGATAAATGATAAAAATAGATCACAAAATCCAGCAATAGAAATGATGAAACCTAATAATGATCTTCAAAATAAGGATATATCTAAAAAATATGAACCGAATCATAGTCATACTACAATGGCAACTTCTAAATTATCCTCGATTGAAACTATTAATACTGATGTTGAAACTAGAATTGACATTCTTGTTAAAAATCCTGAAATAATTTTACTCGAAGACCAACATAATTCTAATTCAAATTGTCTTGTACTAAATGTAAGATAAATCATAGCAGAAAATAGAATTATTCTATTTAAATTTTAGTTTGCCCTTAATATGCGTGCGATTAACGTTGGAGATGATACAAAACTATTTAGTACATTAAATGATTTAACTATCTATAGTTCGAATTTCGCTGAACTGAAATCTTCGAAAGTTAAATATCGAGTAAAAAAAATGAACGAATGTGTCTTGTCGTTTTTTTCTTGAGTCTCATTATTTTTTAGATTTTACAACCAGCCAAAGTGGATTTAACGATAATGATCGATTCAGAGCAACAAAAAGTTGATGTTCGTTTTACACATATTATTATTAACATTACACCAGCTGCTGCTCGTATACTTATTGGTGTTACTAGTTCGTTAAATAAACATCAAGTAGATATATATATATATTATTTATGATTATTATAATTATAATTAAAACTTTTTTATATGTTATTTAGCCAACAAATAAACAAGAAAAATTCGATGTTCAAACAATGTTTAATCCAAAACCAATTAACGAATCTGATTTTTGGTATTTGAAAGGTATAATTTCATTTGACTTTTTTAATATAGTAAACTAATGATTATATTTAGAAGACACTATTGATATTCCATCAGAGAAAAACTCTCGTGTTGAAAATAAGAAGAAGAAAGATAAAAGTTGTCTTTTCCAACAAGTATATAGCTAATTTATCTAAATTGTTTTGGTTAATGCATTTTGTCTTTTATTCAATTAGCTTGTTTTAGCATTAACAACTATGGAAATAAAACTTAATGTTGGTTTTGGTTCAGTAACAAAATCAGTCGCTGCAATTTGTCTATCGAATTGGGAGATTGAAGTTAAAAATTGGTCCGATCAGGTATGCAATCTTTATTGAGATATGTTAGAATATATCTATTATTTATTGTTTCAGATGACTGCTTCATTGACAATGAATATTGAAGCAGCTTTATACAATGAGCATACTCTTGCATGGGAACCTCTTATTGAACCGACATTTGATGAAAATAAAACACGTCTTTTACCATGGAAGATCACATGTTCAATAACACCTGTAAGTCTTAGTTTCCCTTTATTTTTTTATAGCAAATAATAATGGTTAAATTTATTTTGAACTTTTAATTTATTTTTATTCATACATATCTGTCTAACATATTTTTATGAAAGATGAAATTAAAAATCTTCGGATTATTATGTAATAAAAATGATTTGATAATATATCCGTTTAGTTATTTCCAATATCTGATCGTTTTGAATTATTATCATTGACGAATACTAAACAACAGCAACAAAAAAAAGTTTCTGGTCTCAATGCTAAACAATTAATTTCAATTCAAGCTCAACAATTATTAAATATTACTATAACAAAAACAGGTTTTGAGCTTATTGAACATTTATCTTCTTTATTTAATGATATTTATAATCAACGTTTACCCAAAAAAAATATCGATGATAATGAATCGATGTTATCATTAGTAAATTTAACAGGACAAATTATTTTTATGGATAATCTAAATGGTCTCGAAGTAATTTTATTTTCAAATACAAAAAATTTCGATTTAATTTTTTCTCTTTGATATTCTTAAGTTTACTGATAATATATCGTGGACTTCAAAAGTTATCTCACAAAATGAAACGATTCCATTAAATGCATCTGTTGAACGTTTATCATCAATTTATCGACTTTCTGTTATTGAAGAACAAACCTCTAAAAATCGACAAGAATTTTCTGTTCAAGTGAATTATTATTATTATTTTTCTTTATTTATTTTCATAGTAAAATTTAGATTTATGATAGTAATAAATTGATAAATATTAGTCGAACATGGCAACGTATATATGATTTAAAGCCATCATTGATTCCAATATTTCCGATTCAATTACTTTGTGATACTCAAATACATAATAATTGTCGACGCATAATTCTTAGTTCCGTTGTCAAAGTTTGTTATTTTATGAAGTTTTAAAATGATAATTATTATTATTGTTTTGTTTTATTTAAGATATATAATAATACAACATTACCAATAGTTATACTAGATTTTGATTCAAAGACAGAAAAATCTAATCATCGAATTGAAATTAATGAATATTATTATGTTCCTATTGATCTTCTTTATAAAAATTCGAATCTATCGATTTTTATTGGCGTTGATGAGTATGAAAAAGGAGTAGATAATGCTGAATCAACATTAAAATCACCAGATATTTTTTATTGGTTTTTGTCTCTGATGCTAATGAAACAACTGTTCAAACTGATCCCTACTCTTCGAGCTCATATTAAGCCCAAAAAGAGATCTCTATAGGACTAGACAAAACTTGCAAAGATTCGTGCCCATGAGGCTCTAAAGTCGAATTATGAACATTTTAGCGAGTTTTCTCCTCGTATTTAGGTACTTATAGGAAACTCAAATAATGAAATTCTAAACCTGCAATTTTGCTTATGGACAAGTCTAATGATCTTTGAAATATCCTGCAAGTTTCAATCAAAAAGAAAATTGTTTATCGAGATATTGAATTTTGTGACATATGTGTTGCAAGCGACTAATTTCGGGAAATCAATATCTTGATAAAAGAATATTCTCTTTTCGGCTGAAAATTTCGGAATATTTCTAAAGTTATTACAACCACCTATGGGTTGAAAATTCACTAAAACGATCATAACTTGACTTCAAAAGCCAATGGGTATGAATCTCTGTAAACTATTCTTAGTTTTACTGAGACCTCCTTTTTGACTCAATATGAGCTGAAACAGCACGTATTACTTCAGGTAGTTCCCTTTTTAGTACACAGCTCAAATCTAATTCATACTTTAAATATCCAATGAAGATTAAGACCTTTGAACAAGTGAAAAGAGAAGCTTTCAGATTGCCGATAGCTTTCTAGAAACTAGTGTTATTTTAAATAATACAAAATTGTGAATAAGTAGTCGCCGTAATTTCCACATGCCGTAACCAGTAAAACGTTGTAGAGGGAACTCAGTCTGATCAGGCCGTATCTCTCGAAAAGGTTCAAGGAAAACTTATGATGGACGTCGACGAACTGAGGTCCATCGGGTTACGTCACTACGTCGATTTTCGCTTTAAAAGTAGCAAATATCACAAAAGATGAGAAAATAAGTATTTTTTAGCCGACTTCTTTGTTAAATTTTGCTATTTTTTGTGATGCTTGCTACTTTTACAGCGAATATCATAGACTATGCGGCGACCATTCATTCACTATTTTGTGTTTTTTATGATGAAAAATAATTTTCGAAGAACCACCTGTAATAAGAGAACTTTCATTTTCGGTTGTTCTGAAATCCTACTGTCATTGTTCATCTATAAAATCTTGTTATAAAAGGTATTTGATAGAAAACGTCATAGAATATTCAAATTACAATTTGGATTTGAACTGAATATTTAGCATTAGAGAAAAAAGATCAAAACTATCTTATTCACATAAATTTGGTCCAGAACTCTTTATACATATACTTTCATAGAAATGATCATAATGAATCAATCAGTGACTTTTTTGAATATCATTGGATGTTGACAATGATTCAAGAGAATAAATTACGATTAAAAAATGGCAAAATCATCCATTTACTTGTATATATCATAATTTAAAACAAAAAGAATCTTCTTTCTATTATAATTTGTTGATTATAGGTATATAGAGAAGCGAAAGAAGCTTATTTAGAGAATACAGATCAACTTGAGCGAGTATCATATAATATTTATATTCATTCAACTATTCATCTAACCAATCTTTTACCAATTGATATTCAATGTTCTATTAATGTAAGTAAAAAAAAAAACAATTTTGATTAGTAACTATATTTTTCTTTGGATTAGAATTTGGAACAAATTTATCTTAAACCGAGTCAATTACAATTAATTACATCTGGTGGCAAAAATTCTATATTGAGATTTATTGTATGTAAAGTTAAATTCTTTCTTGAACATATATTCGATTGCTTGTTTCTTTGTTTGGTTTAAGATTCCATTTTACAATGAAGTTGAATGGATCTCAGACCCTATTGATTTAGGAATAAGAAAAAAAAGTGATCCTAGTGAACGAGTTATTACTTTCTGTAATGCTGCATGTCCCAATAAACAACAAATTTTAGTAAGGATTAAGAATATTCATTTTTGTGGAACTCACATTATGTTTTTCGAAGAAAACTATTGTGATTGTAAGTTTTAAGTCAATGTTTTTCGGTTTTCCCGTCAGAACAACGGAGGGCAAGGCTAACGCTCATGAGACACATTTCGATAGCACCCAAGAACAACAGGCAACATACACTTTTCTCAGCGTTCCTTAGCAAAGAAAAAGGCACACCAGCAAGACTTCAGCTGTTCTAGAAAATTCCAAAGTTTTTCTCGAAATTTAAATGGTTGGAATACATTTGCCAAAGTCCTAAATAGTGCAATTTTTTGTATAATGAGGCTAAAGAACACATGTGAGTTCCACATTGTGATCTCAAAAGAGATTGTGCTACGAAGCATTCTCGTATTAATTTGATGTATTCTACTAGCGAATGGTTCTACATGTGGATTTATTTCATGAGTCATATCGTTTATCATTATATGCACCATTCTGGATTATTAATCATACTGATCTTAAACTTGAATTTCGAGTTTGTAATTGTATTTATTCTTTTTTCGTTTAATAATTCCAATCAATTTTATATTTAGATCGGTAATGATGGAATATTTATTAAAAATACGGAAAATTCACATCTTGCCTGCCCGGAGAAATATAAAAGTGATACAAGTGAAAAAGTATACTATCAATTAAATAAGTCTAACTTATTTTCCTCGATTTCCTTCCAGGGCCAAATTCGGTTGTATGGTGTAACACAAGACGATTCTATGAAATATTGGTCAGAAAAGTTTTCACTTGATGTTATCAAAAGTATAGGAATGGCCAGTTGCAAAGGACCCAATGATAAAACATATATGGTGATTAAGAATCTTTAAGATGTTTAATCATAGCTGAAAATTCGACATGTTAAAATCATCAAATTATTGAAGAATTAGAACAAAAATTTTCAACAAATGTTTTCTCATATGAACGAAGTTCTCCAATATTAATCACTTTTGAGTTCGAATTAGAGATTCCGGAATCAAAATATAAAACTGTACTAGAACGGGGCCGACATCAGAGTTACTGGGACTATGAATAAAATCGGGATCAGAAAAACTTGATCATACGCATCTCTAGTCCGACAAAGTGCATCATATTGAGCCTAATGAATTATGAATACACTGATGAGATGTTTTGTTGTTAGCTTATAATTGCTCGTTTATTGTATTTTTTGCATGAAAGTCGTGGTTCCCCTCAGGAACGTAGAAAAAGCTGATTTTTGAATATCAATTTGATATTTTTCGCAAGTCTATGCCTTTAAAAATAATAGTTAATCATGTAAGTGTTAGATCTTTTCGTCATTCATGTCTTAAGATATAGTTATGATAAAAGCACCTCCTTTATATCGTTCATTTGGATTCGATATTCTAGCAGTTTAAGCAATCTAAAATTTCCACAACAAATTATTCCGGTTAAAACCTATCTTTGAACAAAATTTTAAGTAGAATTTCGGAAATCAATTTTTTTGTTTTGGTGTTTCTAAGAGAAACTACGGCGTTACACTAAAAAAAAATAGAGTATCTCGTCAACAATTAGCCAACAGCACGAACTCTTAGGGATATTCATAACTTATGAGGATATACATGATTTACATGGTTGCGACTCAAAAACCATTTATCAGTTGAGAGATTTCACCTGTTAGTAGTCATGTGTTATATGTTAGATTAAAGTTCGATATGTTTTATATAATATATGAGATAAAATTAAATTAATTCTTTTGTATAGATTTGTGTTGATATAACAACAAGTTCATTTGGCTTAACAAAAATTGTTACGTTGTCACCAGCTATGGTTATTATCAACCGAACTTCAGTACGATGATTTGATTCTTGATTCTATGTAAAACCCTTTTTCTCTCTTTAGATTCCTATTGAAATCGTTGAAACTTTAATGGGTAAAGAACAAGATCAATGGATTTTCGTGGAACATGATGGAGTATATATTAGTTCATAGAAATATAAACTTGTATTATCATTGATGCATATTTATAGGTTATTCCTTTTTGGCCACAAAATGCCAAAGAAGGTTCAATGCATGTTCGTTATGCACATAATCAAAAGAAATCAAAAGCATTTTCAATCAATAAAAAACATCAGACATTATTGTATATGAATGATGAAGAACGTTTAGTTATTTTTGTAGAAGTTATTGCCACTGATTTTGATGGTGTGCGAGTGATTTTTAGTGATTATAAACAAGGTGACGCACCCGTATTGCTTATCAATCATACACATGATCAATTAATTTCGTTTGTTCAAAAGAATGATGTGTAGGTCACTTTTCTTTTTTCTCTAGAATGTTTTGTCTTTTTTTAATTATAGGACAACTCAATATTTAGTACCAAAACATTTTGTCTATTATACATGGATGGATCCGTTAAAACCACGTGAGATGATTGTTACTTGCAATGACAAATCGAAAACGATTGAACTCAATGTAAGTTAGCACTTTCCTTTGTAGTAGAGTTTCATTCGTTTTTTTGGAAACTCACAGTATGCTTTGCGGAAAAAAATGCAATCAGTATAAGTTCTAAGTGAAGGTTTTGCAGCTCCACCCTCATGGTGATCGGGAAAGGTGGACGACCCATTATCATTGGGTACGTTTCTATAATGATTGAGGACAGCAAGAATCAGCCTCCCCCATCCCCCGTCCAAATTCCTAAGTCACGGGAAAAGGCGCATTCACAGCAATACTTCGACTATTCTAAAACATTCCAAAGCCTTCCTCGAAATTTGAATAACTGCAATACGCTTGTCAATATTCTAACAACCATGATGATTGATGATGCATTGTATATAATTGTATGTTAAGACCTACTGTAGATATAATGGATATGTATAGCAGGCTTATTTGACAGTTAAATCAATGGTTAAAATAATAATAATGTGAAATTAAGAGAAAACGTAATAAGAAAATGGATAGCAACAAGGCACACAAAAAATAGAACTCCAATAAAAAAGAAAAAAATCTCTTCGGAATACATAAATAAAACATTTGAGTTGCAAAGAGGCTGTGCTGAAAATTTTTTCTCATATATATATAGATTCATAAACTGGGTGACTATTTGATAAGTGCAAATTCCATAATAACAAGTGACTTAGAATCAATGGTATATATTTTCTACTTGTTACATTTTTATTGTTGATGATAGTCCGCTAAGAACGATATCCTTTTCAATGTAGTGTAGTTTTATTAAATATCCATCTTCTCAATTATCTTCAGCACCATAAATGTTAAGATATTGTTTTGCCAACCTAGTATATATTATTATTCTCTTTTTTTCTATAGCCTCATCGTGGTGATCTTGATATAAGTGAAAATCATGGTATTGTCAGCTATGTTGTATTCATTGATGGTGTTCAAACTGTATTACTTTTCTCGTACGATGACCAGATTATTGGAGCCACATTAAATGTACGTATTTAAACATATTATAATGAATACACCTTTTGAAATATTTCTCATAAAATAATTCAATATCATAAATTTTTACTATGAATCATTAACGACTTAATTATTCGCTATTAAAAAAAGAGTAAAAACAGATTTTTTTCCTCGTCTTATAGTTTCAGAATTAGTATTAACATGAATCAATACTGTTTCTAATAATTAAGCATTATTATTATTAAGATTAAACCAAATGCTTTAGTATTATGTAGCCCTAGAATTCATTAATGTTAGTTAAGATTTCAGCATTAAATTAACATTATTTTTAATTCTCATACATAGACGACTTGTTATTAAACTTCAGATAATTTAAGCTCAGGAGGAAAAGTACCTCGATGTATTTCGACTTCATCTTCTCGGTTAAAGTAGGTCTCAGTAAGATTAAGAAAACACTAAAATAATATATGTTTATGGTTTTTCACTCTTGAGATATTTAATTATAATATTTCAATTAGAAAGTTGTGGATCCAGGCCCAGTTCGAGAAGTTTAGCTTTTCTCGGATCCGAATCCATAAAAAACGTCAATCCATAACACACTAATCTTGATCTTAACGAAAAATATGAGATCGAAATGGTGTTGTCAAATTAGTTATCATTCGTTGATTCTCAAACAATTGCACTTCTCTTTCTCAAACTCGTTCAATACATACGGTCTATAAATGGATATCGAGAGATTCATCATGGTAATTTTCAATGTCGTGAAAGTTTGTTTTTCATCCAGTTCGTTGCTATGTAATGAAAAGACACGTCGAACTCCTGATTTAATCTACTTTTCACGGTATGAAAAAATGCTATGTTTTCGTCATTTGCGGGTTGAGTATTACTAACATAAAACTACTTACCCTTTCATGTCTGACTTAAGTGTCGTATCATTTTAATTTTTTCATGCATTGAAAAAACTATTAGAGACTATTATCCATTTTCAAAAAAAAGGCGGTTGAGCATTTTTTTAATAACTTTTGATAGAAACTAGATAGAGGGGTGCGGTTTTCACCATTACAAAGACAAGACCGGGGCATATAATATGTGCTAAAATTCTATTGGTTGGTAATGGTCCAATCAAATATATTCTCAGTGAACATTTTGAACTCGTTATTCTGAACTCTTTCGCAACTTTACTGAATTATGAATTTACTTGTTTTATAGGAAAAATTGTTCTCTACCGATCTGCGCAAGGCCGACCTTTCTAGCTGACTCCGTTGGAGAGTTATAAGATTTTTTCTGAGACCCCTAATTTTAGCAAATTGGCCTGGAATCACCCGAAAAGCGATTTAGGATGGGATAATTCCTCATGCTGAGTCGAATGGTGATGTGTTTTTTTCGGATTCGAAATGATCTGACACAGTTATATCAATATTTCATAAATGTCGACTCATTTGATATATAGCGGTAGATTTAGTGAAATTTTGAAAATTCTTAAATAATACCATCAGATCGTTTCGAATCCGAAAAAAAACATCATCATTCGACTCAGCATGATGAATTATTCCATCCTAAATCGCTTTTCGGCTGATCCCAGGCCAATTTGCTAAAATTAGGGATCTCAGAAAAAATCATATAACTCTCCAACGGAGTCAGCTAGAAAGGTCGACCTTGCGCAGATCGATAGAGAACAATTTTTCCTATAAAACAAGTAAATTCATAATTCAGTAAAGTTGCGAAATGAGTTCAGAATAACGAGTTCAAAATGTTCACTGAGAATATATTTGATTGGTCCATTACCAACCAATAGGATTTTAGCACATATTATATGCCCCGGTCTTGTCTTCGTTATGGTGAAAACCGCATCCCTCTATCTAGTTTCTATCAAAAGTTATTAAAAAAATGCTCAACCGCATTTTTTTTAAGATGGATAATAGATTATTCATTATCATAGTGGGATAATCCGAAGACTCAGGCAATATTATTTGTTTTACATGTGTTTATTTCCAAGTTATCATGATGATATTTTGAACAATAATTGGAAAAAGCTGAAAGATAAAAATGAAACCTTATTTCATCATAGCATTTTCTACATTTCGGGATCGAAAAGTCATTAGCATCGATGCTGTTTGGATTTTTTTTAGTCTCACTGGAACCTATTTATAGACATAATAAAATGAAGTCCAAAGATGGATATCAATTGTAGTACTTCTCTGGTGAGTTTAAACTAGCTGAGATCTACTCATAAGAAACATACGTATTAGAAATAAAAAATAATATAACTTGTGCATATAATAGTTAAACTGTTATTGAACGTCAGTGTTAGTTTTTGGCGAACAATTTACTGAAACAGCACATCTATAATCCAAAAGGAGTGTCGAAGTATAAGGATAAGAGTTTGGATCCTCTCTCTCCACGTAGCATATGTCAAAAACATAGATAGAATAAAACAATCTTTATGTAATTAGCAAGAACAGCTATGTCATGTTTCACATTTTAAACATGCAGAAAATTGCGTGAACAATTTTTTATTATGAAAGTCTATTGCTTTGACGACTGTCTAAGAAACTTACGACGAAACATATTCAACTATCGGATACCATTTAACTTTGTATTATGGTTACTACTAAGTTTTGATGAGATTAAGAAAATCTTAAAAAGATTCGAGCTCATAACCTACTATTGAAAAGTTATGGCCATGTAAATGATATTTTTACTGAGTGCAAGGTATTTTTGAAGAATTCAAAACACAGAGTGTCGAGTTGAAATTATGTCTATGGATACATTTGATAGCCATTAGATACTCTTGACAGTCTCAACGAAAACGAACATGTTTTTCTCGATATATTCAATATCTAAAAACATAGCGGTTTACTCAATACTATCTAGTAACTTTTGAACGTACCTATAGACATAATTTCATCTCGACAGTCTTTATTTTGGATTTTTCGGAAATGACTTACTCAGTAAAAAATTCATTAAAATGGCCATAACTTTTCAATAGTAGGTGGTGGATCGGAGTCCTTTTAAGATTTTCTTAGTCTCACCGAGAGTTACTAGTAGCCATAATGCACAGTCGAATGGTGTCTGAAAATTAAATCATCGAAGAATATTTGATCAGTAAGTCTTATTTATTGAACATAATCTCAGGTAGAAAAGAATTATATAGTTTGAGAGAATCTATCGTAAAGTAATTTGTTTGTTTCAATTCATTCAACATAGATACCATCTTCAACTCAATCTATCTGTCGACGTCTTCAACTTGGAATTTCTGATGTTGGTCTATCAATTGTAAATGATATTAAACGAGAAGAACTTCTTTATATTAGTATTAAAAAGTCAAAACTTATTTGGGTTCAAATGAGAAAATCTCGAGTGAAACCATTTTCACATGATATGCAAACACATTTAGAAGAATTATATAAAATACACCTACAACTAGTAGAACAAAATCCGAATGATGCAACTCTTCATCAAACGAAATATCAAATGTGTGAATATCGTGTATGTTTCTTATTTTGTAGCTTTTTTTTTATGAACTTCTCTGTACATTTAACAGGAAGTTATTTTTTATGAAAATGCTGCTGAATTAGTCAATCAAAAAGGCGAACATAAATTAGCTAAACGAAAATCACTTGATGGATTATGGATTGAATATACATGGTCAATGACTAATGCAGCTTTTTATACTTGTATTAATCATATTCAAATTGATAATCAACTGGAGTGTACCAATTTTCCCAGTATTCTCTATCCAATATTATCTAAAACAGCAGACTCTGATATTAGTAATAGATTAATTATAAAAAAGAGACAAATTAAAGTTAAATACGTGTCTGTTTTTTTCTTTTCTTTTAGCTGAAAAACCATTTATTGAATTAAGTATTTACGAATCAAAAACATTACAATCAAACATAATGCATTTTCAGTAAGTTATATTTAACCATAAATGAACAGTCAAACATATAAACATAAATTGATGATTTAGATATTGCAAATTACTTGTTCAAGAATTTGTACTTCGAGTTGATCAAGGTTTAATTTTAGCTATTCTTGCTTTCTTTAGACAAGAAAAGGTTTGTTTTATCTCTATATAATTTTTATTCTATCGAGAATTTTTAATCATTTTTTTGTGGATATGACTTACTGACAAAATGAATCTTTAAAAAAGGGTTCTTCTACTAGAGTTAACGTCGATTGGAAAGAAGGAACATTGATAAATGTTGAAAATGATCCCTCTTGAGAAATTTGATTTCTTTTATGTCAAACTATCACGGAATGCGTCCAAAACTGAGTTCTGATAAAATTCTTCATATAGCATTTATTGATGCTGTGCACAGGTTAACTAAACTAGTCAATGAGTGTCACGTCTACATTGAATCCGATTGTTGATGATAATAAGTATCTTTTATTTACTCATTTCAAGAACAATCGGACTATTTTCATATGGTTCAATAGCACTTTTCAAGGGCTTCAAAATTGTATAAAAACATTAAGGAAAAAACACTGTTCACACACAAATTCCAAGAAGACTATTATTCAGATATGATTTTATGAATTTGTTGACTAATATTCGATTGATTTCGATTGTAAACATACAATTTGAATAAAACTTAATATGACATTTTAAATCAGCATCTATAACTGATTAGACTTACATGTATTTCAAGAATTTTCGAATTCTTTTTTTGTCTTCAAGAAAATTAATCCCTGGTTGCCTTCTGAATTCAGTCTAAAACATGAATTGCATGACAATTCAGCTTTTATCATTTATTCATCTGCTATTTGGAGTTCTATTGTAATTTTATCACCGTAGAACTTGATTAGCACTTGTTCACATAACTTTTTGATGAAATTCATTTTTGACCCAACCCTAAGGGGACCGTAAGCGAATTTTTCCACAAAAAAAAAATATTGCAAAAATTTTTGACATGCATGTAAGTCTATTCAGTTTTCGATACTGATTTAGAATTTTATATTAGATTTTATTTAAGCTGTATGTTTATAATCGATATCTACTAAATATTAAGCAAAATAAAACATATCTCTAGAATAGTTTCCTTGGAACTTTTTTATATGACCAATATTTTTTCCTCGATGCTTTTTTATACCATTTTGACGGACTTAAAGAGTACTATCAAACCCTGCAAAAGCTAGCCCAGCGGGTAATGATATTAGATAGTGTTGGCACACGATTTCACTGAACAATCTAAACAAAACTCGAAACTAGGGCATATTAGGACTATGCACTGCATAGCACAAACAAGTGTTATAGGTCTAATTCTACTAGGGATCACGTTAGAGCATCTTGAATGAAAGCTCGACATGATAGAACTAATTTTTTTGTTGGAAGCCGATTTTATCGGTTATTGGGTTCCTTCTATTTTCTTTCAATGAAACGAACGACTGTTTTATACATTTTCTAATTGGATATCATTACAGAATACAATGATATCGATGATCAATATGGATACAGATTTAGAACATATTAACAAGTCACTTCAAGATATTATTAAAGTACAAACTGATACTCCAATGGGTGAAACACAAATGTACTTTAACAACATTCATTTATCACCACTTAAAGTATCTGTTTAAAATTCCTACAGATTTTTTTTTAATTTGACCTTTTCATCATACGACAGATTCATGTTAGTTTTTCAATGCATGGATCAAAAGCGAATGAAGAATTGTTTGCTGAATATCCGCTTGTTGGATTTCTCTTGCGAACGTTGAATGTCGCCGAAGTAAAAGATGTTGTTCTCAGGTAAAAGTATTGTTTGAAGCTAATTAATTGAACTCACTTGTTCTGAATGTACAATTAGATTGGGTTTCTATGAAAGATCATTCGATCGATTTACTGTAACTAAGTTGAAAAATGAAGTGTCAGCGCATTATCAAAATCAATTTTTTAAACAAATTCATGTTCTTATACTTGGTTTGGATGTATTAGGTAACCCACTTGGTATTATTCGAGGAATAGCTGAAGGAGTAGAATCATTATTTTATGAGCCATACAAAGTTAGTTTCACTGATTCTTATTTTTTTTTCTTTGTTTATTATTTGGTTCGAATTATTTAGGGTGCAATCGAAGGTCCATTGGAATTTGCTGAAGGTATGGCTACTGGTGTTTTAACATTGGTCGGCTCAACTGTCGGCACTGCTGCTGGTGCAGTTTCAAGAATAACTGGTGTGATTGGAAAAAGTTTAGCAACACTTACATTTGATGACGAATACAAAGCTTCACGTATTCGTCGTAGAGAACCAGCAGCCAATGCAGTTACAGATATTGCTGTCGGCGGAAAGAATGTAGTTATGGTATGTTTACATCAGCATGTATTCAATCGTAATTTATGTTCAGCTTTACAATATGGATATAATGCTTGAGATATTACTTAATCTATTTTCTAAGGCAATGACAAAAGATATGTACAAGTCTTTATGATAATATTTGAAATGTAAAGTATGGGTGTGGGTGCAGCTGTGGGTATAGATACGGTTGTGTATTCGTGTCTTCTCTTTACTTAAGCAGTCACACCCGTATTCCGATGATTACCTTAACACAAACAGAAGAGAAAAAATCATTTTGAGTGTAAGTGTCAGCACGATAGGGTCACGCGTAACATGCGGTGTGCGGAAGTGTCTTGGTATGGAAATATATAATGAGTGTCTTTTATTAACTACATTCCCATGCTTGATACTTCAATTCCGTATTAAGGAAATTGCAATTACAAAGTCTGTGAATTTAGTCTCGATAAAAGTGTTAAACTTTTCGAGATTATTTTAATTTTAAATAGATTCCATTTACACAACTATCTTAAAATATTGATTTATATTTAATGTTTATAAATAGGGATTTGTCAAAGGTGTCACTGGTGTCGTTACAAAACCAGTAACTGGTGCAGTGCACGGTGGTGCATCAGGTTTGGTGAAAGGTTTAGGAAAAGGTTTATTGGGTCTCGTAGCACAACCCACTGGGGGTATTGTTGATTTTGCTAGTACTTCACTTGATTTAGTTAAACGGTACGATCAGAAATGATAGTTACATCGAACAATGGTATCTTTTCTTTTTTCTTGTAGTACGGCTACCCAAGAAAAAGTTGTTCGTCGTGTTCGATATCCGCGTCATGTTGGTCGTGACGGTCTTGTTCGTCCATATATTCCTCATGAAGCGATGGGTTTATATATTTTGAATGTGAAACAAACAAAAAAATATTATGCTAGCTTTCTTTCATTAGTTCTCTTCTAATTTCAGCGACTTGAAAATAGACGATATGCAAAGACGGATACCTATGTTGCTCATATTGCATGTTCGGAAAGTCCATTGAGTTGGCTCATAGCTACTTCAAAGTAGAGCTCTTCTGTTTATTTTTTGTCTTTCAAGACTTCTGCGAAGTTTATTTCTTATTTTAGACGTATTTTATTTGTTACAGAAATTTCATTTCTTGGTATTTATGAGGTTGATTGGAAAATGAGTTACATAGAACTACAAGAAATACCTGTTATCATACCTGATAAAAAGGCAATTCAAATTTTAGTCAAAGTAAGGAAATAGGGTGGCATGATGAAATGAACTTTTATGAGTCATATTTCTTACTATAATATAAACTTAACAACAGAAGCTAAAGATTGATATTAAGGGTACTTGCTGTCACAACTGAAAATCTTTTTTTGTGTTGATTGTATAGTTTGAAGTAATATCTATCTGCTGAGTACATTTTGAGTTCCAAAAATTGTCTTTACAAGTTAAAAAAGTCAAGAAGAGATCGAACTTACGTAACGAAAATAAAGAATCGCATTGTTCTTAAATCAAATTTTTCATGAAAAAAGTGCAGAAATGCCTTTGTTTCTCTAATTTAGTACATTCAATTCAGCTGAAACTTTTTGAAAAATATTATGCATCGTTTCGGATGGGTTTGTTTTTTGTTTGAAAAAATATTGTACTGCTGATTTTTTGTAGCTCTTGAAAAAATAGTATTATTCAAAAAATTCTTTTCTTAGAGGATCTCTGATGTTTTGGCATTTTTATTTGAAGGACAAAAAATCAAAAAGATACTCAACGCAAAAAGTATATAGTGTCTGTCAAAAAAAAATGTTCACCTTGATTGAACATGATATCTCGAAAAAAACAGAGGAGAAAGTTTCCACCATTGTGACCTCTATATCTTATACAAGATAGCATCCGAGAGCTTTGAATCTATGATAACTTTTGCTCTACTAGTGAGGATCTACTTGTGAGAATTTAAAATTTTTCTTATGAACCGTTCTTTAGAAGACCTAGAAAAGGAATACCCTTAAGGAAATCTTTTTTTGAAAGATCTTTTGACAAGTTCTTAATTGAAGATTGTTTTTCAAATGTAAAAATAAATTCACTTATTCCTGTTTTAACAGAACTCTCAAAATACCGGTGCATTCGATGTACATCGATTATCTGGAAAATTGGTTAAATATCGAAATATTGATGAAGCTCGTGTAAGTTCTTTAATTCTGTTTACTTTTAATATTTTTACTTTTTACGTTCATTATAGTACTTTGTTGGCAAAACTCGGGACGCAATGCATTCTAGTGGATTATAATTAATTACATTTATTCTGTCTTTCAATTTTTTATATTTTTTGTATTATATATCTAGATCATCTTTTTTTATATATGGTCTTGATATTTATATATGGTATTCGCCTATGATTGAGAAGAAAACAGCAGAGATTTGGGGCTTGAAGTCTGCTAATTCCCTTCGCTAAGATTGTATCATGATTTATTTTTACTAATTGTTTTTTGTCAATAAATATACGTTTTTTCATATTCTTCAAATCAATATGTAAATGTTCAGACTCCTGTGTTGAACAAAAATAATGAATGAACTAAAGGTTTTAAGACAAAGTGTTTGTCTATTTTTAACTATTTTAAAAGTATTTTCGATGAGTCAAAAGTTGTAGGTTAGAACTATAATTTGATACACTTTTCTAACATGAGCTTCGCAATAGTATTTCCATTTTTATTCGAGAGTAGTGAGGTAGTCTACGAAAGTTCAGATGAAACGTATGGACTCAAGATTCTGTGACAAATGTTTTCTCATTCTGATCTGCTTAAGAGTATGTTAAAGAGACCAAAAACTATGAAAGATGATCAGAATTTTCTCTTCTCTTTAAATATTGGTTTATAAATATTTTGTTTCTTGTTGTTCGAGAGTAGTGAAGGACTGTTGAAAGACCTTCAAAATCAGATTGAAATAGTGAAATAAAAGGCTTCTGCTAACCTCTATGAGCCCCTTTTCGAAGGTACTAAAAATTATCGGAATCGGCCGTTTTATAGAGTGCGCATTTCTTTACAATAATTGATATTGAACTAACGAGAGGATCTCACCAGGTATCAAATCATTTTTCCACCGTTTTATGTTTATTCGATGAGTACTAATGAGTAATAGGAAAGTCTAGAATGGTTTGGCGTACAAAACCTTCGCTGTCGAGATATCGAAATTTAACTGGGTTTTGCAACAAAAACTTGTAGTTCTCCTCAGATCATCTGGAAAAAACGATGTTTTAGTATGGACTTCAAAGATTAATTAATTATGCAAGTTTTAGCTTTTACACATGACAAAATTTTGAATATTTCGTATCTCAGGATAGAAGATACAATTGCTTGATTCAAAATAAAAGACGAGTTTCCATTTTTTATATAACTTTTGATATGAACATGATAGGAATCTGTGGATTTTCACCATTCAAAATACCAGCTTACAAGCAACAATTTTTTATTAGATTTAATTTGTCAATAAGACATATAGATAAAGCGCTTTTTTGATTGCTCTTCGAACATACTATACTCATCTTCAATGAATCTCCTCTATTTCCGACAATAGTCCGTTTCATTTTATTGTTACTTTTAGAAATCGATTAAACATGATTCAGGTTTTGAATGAAGTGACAATTGGTTTCAATCAAACTACAACCGAGATAAGTTGTAATCATCAATTATTAATCCATTAAGTGAATATTTATTGATGAAAATTTCAATCGATTAAAAAAAATTAAAATTCAGTCTCGATCGGATTGTAAGTAAAAAATCGATTGACTCGATTTTTTTTAATCACTGTTAAGATTATAATCGATTCAAACCGGATAATGCTGTGAAATGTGGATGCTTGAAAGAAAAATTGAGATTTATATACTGACAATCCAAAATAATTTTGATTTTCATAGGAATATTTTTCACTGGGTAGATACTACTTCCTGAACAAACGGCATGTGTCAGGACAGAGACTGTCGTATCCGGTTTTTTCTAAAATTTGTAAAGTACTCTTAATAATATATGTTCTTTGCCATTTTATGTAACGATAGATTAAAATGAACTTTTCAAAAGTTCACCGCAGAACACTCTGAAGGACAGCCAGCCCAGATTTGTAAAAAGTCTGGATACAACTACTCACTCAGATGAGTACTTAAGTCAGATGACATAAAAGTTAGCTCTTTTTTATTCTTTTCATGACGAGATTTTCGTGCCTTTTTAATGATTTTCATTAGATGACTCTAATGCAAAATTAATTATTTTCATGAATCAAAATTTTGCTTTTCATACATGAATTTAAAAAACATCAAAATTAATGTTTGTTTCATCATTGAAAATGATGTTTTTTTTTGTCATTTCGCGTCATCATTTATCTTTGGGAAAAAATTTTCATTCAATTGATCTAAATTACATCGTTTTTTTTATTCAGTGGACATCTATCAGTTTGGCACACCTAGTACTTTTTCGTTTTAGTTTCTTCGATTTTTATATACAATACCGTTTAATACCAGTAATGACTTGTCTTTGTTCGGCAGAAGAAAATACGAATCATTACTGGTGATTGTTATTAAATGAATTACTATTGAATTTAAAAGAAAAACTAATTTATATATCTATTATGTATATAATAAAAAAACCAATTGTCCTTTTAACTTTATTGTTAGTTAATGGTTATCCTTCTTCGTATTCTAATAATCTCATCATACAATGAGTAGTTACCAACAATATTGTAAAGCAATGTTAGACGCCAATAGAACACAAATCAACAATAAATTGTCTATTTACATCATCTTCTAACTGTTCGACATTTGCATCGTTTGGCTTTGGTTTTTATCTTTTCCGTTTCGGCTTTTCCGATTTTTTTATATGATCGGCATTTTTTCTTTTCGGTGTTTTTTTCAATATATTTTGCTTCGATATTTGTTTTTCGATCTTTTCTATACACGTGAACATTATCTCATTATAACAAGACGAAAAATATCAGAAAGGAAAAACAACAATACAGACGCACATTGAACGGCAACACTCGTAAACAACTGTTTATGGTGACCAAACAGATAAACAGCTTTCGTATATGAAAATCGTGAAAAAGAATTTGAAAAACTATTATCCGATCCTTCTTGTATAGAGTTAAGCGTCCGTCGTTTACGATTGTACTATATGCGAAATATCATATTCCAGTTTTTACTATAAATGTTAATTCACCAGTGGTTTTTATTAAAATTTGAACAATGTTGATAAATAACTACTATCTTTCGCTTGTTCATTTCATTAGTTTTTTCGTTTTAGATTATGAAAGAAAACATATTATTCTGTACATAGCATATCTAAAAATTTTTTTCACCTTTAGATTATTTTATGACGATGATAGTGAGATAAATAAAGATTTCCTCGGAACAGTTCTATTATCTAAACTAGATGAAGCATTTTGCTTCTTTTTTATTTTTCTTTTGTTTTTTTTTACTTTTCCACTACTTTTATTGTCTAACTGTTGAAACTTTTTGTTTCTTCATGTAATGAATTTTAATTTTAGTGAAATCTTTTATCTAAAAATTCTTACATATCTGTGCTTAACCCATTTTCGCGTAATACACAAATGCTTTGATAAGCATAATAGGCTACGTAATTAGTTGTACCGTTAATGCCAGTTCCTACTTAATAAGCAGTTAGAAACGGTCATATACTATCATGAATGACTGAAACATTGTCCTTTGCGAGAGTGAACACTCCGTATACGATGTCGTAGACGCTCGTAAATCGTTGATGACTCAGTCCATGACGGTCAACCTGAGGAGGCAGAAAGATGAAAAAATAAATACGAAGTGGCAAAACAATGACAATATCAATAGAGAGAAGAAAAAAGGTGAATAGAATAGGGCGTGGCAAAGCAATGAAAAAACATCAATAGAGAGAAGAAAAAAGATGGAAAAAAACAGGGCGTGATATAACAAGGAAAAAAACAAAATAGGGAGTGGCACAACAATTAAAAAGCAGATAGAGAGAAGTAGGAAAAAATAAAGCAAAAATCTACATATAATAATAGTTTCTATCTTACGACAATGTCACGCTTCATAAAACACACAAACAAACGTAAGTGGAAAGAAAATAAGTGGCCACATCAGCATTATATATATATATGTAGCACAGTGGATTACTGATAAGACAACGTCTAAACATACCTGCATCATTTACATTGTGAGTATACTTGATTTTCATTATACATAGGCTATAGACAATAATCAAAAGTAGCTACAGATAGCATACATAAAACGGTGAAACATAGAAACAAGATGTGTGCTGATTGTTGATCACTAGAGTAATACACAATGAGACTTCATTGAGCATGGTCAGCATATAGAACCGATATTGATATGATTCGAATGATTTTTACACATAATAAATAGATAAGAAGAAAAAAGATACCAGCATAAACAATTTAAAACTGACTCACCATTTCTAAGGCTTATGTTTAACTCGGATCAATGCTAAGGAACAACAGAGATTTTATAGTTAGGAAGCTAGCAGTGAGTCCACAAATTTTTAATAAAAGTTTTTAATGACGAAGAATCACTGGAATTTTCAAAAGAAACTCATTGAATCTCGACAAACTCAATCAAAATCTGTGATTCGAATTCCATTACAAAAAAACCATGATGTCCGGATTTTCGAAAGTTGAACAGTTTTGAAATGCAAGAAAGAAAAGCAATTTTCGATAAAAAAAACGATTGACTCAATCTTCCATATGAACACAGATCAAACAGTGAAACAATCGATGTGGTGGTATAAGCGACATCGATTGACATGTTTTTCATCCAGAAGGGCTTTTCAAATGATATCTACGTGATTAAAATATGGAACAAGATAGGCCTACTACAGTCATCAACGAGACGCCTAAATCCGTAGATCATTATCCTTGACAGCTACATAGACAATCATATCGATATGTATCTTAAATCTAGGACACTAGAGAGCTGTGTCTATTCTGTTAGTCACGGATTGGAATGCTGGAGAATTTTTCCCACATATCTTTTGTCGGTTTGTCGAGTATGTTATGGAGCAGTTTCACTCTTCTTGCTGAACTCTTCAGCACTCATCAAAAGTCATGTTTCAGAAAAACTTCTTGCCGGTTAGTCAAAGTTCAAGGAATCCCATGAAGAGTATATCAAGGTAGACAAAGTCTAGTGGATTAGATCGTGCATGTGAATACTCGTAAAATAATAAAACACAAATTTTGTTGAATGTCTATGACAAATAACTATCTTTTGAAGATTCATAATCTCCATCAGAGAACATTGATTTCACCAGAGATTTTTTGAAGATTTTCAGAACCGTTAGACATCTCTAAGGACGAAATTTCAAGTCTAAAATCATTAACTCGGGTTTTTTAGAAATCAATCGCAGCAGATTGAAAATTGAGAGAAACGATAGCCACTATCCATTAATAGACCATGATTATCGAATTCGTTTAATTTTTTCTTAGCCACATTGAGATCTACTCGTGCTTCAATATGAAGTCGAACAGCGACTGATACGTATGAATATTCGCTCATAAGTTAGTAAATATTGATTCAGATACTTGCTGTAGAAATTTTTCAGAATCGTCATAAGCCGTTATAGTTGTTAAACCGTACAAGTTTTCATACAGATACATCATCCTCTATGCACTCTGAATATCTAGGTGAATGGTTGTTGTAAAATATAACAAGATCATAGAAAGTTGAATGAGATAAAAAAGTCAAATTTTTCTCCAGTTCGTTTGAAAAAAACTAAAAATAAGAATAGATATTTGACATTATTTTATTCACTTCTTGTATTTTATTTTATTATAGTTAAATTTAATTTTTATTTAAATTTTAAGAAATTGTGACGTTTTGTATCTCGATGGATACTTCATCAGATATTAAAATTAAGACAAATGATATGTACATATAAACAAATTTTTCTTTTCGTCAGTATTAGTCATACTTTTGATAGTGATACGGAAAAAAAGAAGGTAATAGTAATCGCTAGAGTAAGGAATGAATCCTTTTCCGTATTACTATCAAAAGTATGACTAATACTGAAGAAAAGAAAAATTTGTTTATATGTACAAATAATTTGTCTTAATTTTAATCTCTGATGAAGTATCCATCGAGATACGAAACGTCACAATTTTTTAAAATTTAAATAAAAATTAAATTAAGTTATAATAGAATAAAATAAAACAAGTGAATAAAATAATGTCAAATATCAATTCAACCTTCTTATCAAAACAGGAATTAAAAATAAGAATATTTTATTGAGCTTGGAAGTGTCACAATTTATTCAAAATATTATCAACGTGAAGCAATGTTATTGCTTTGTGATTACTTGTTTCTCCTCGTGAGATAAAATAATAGAACTATGAATAGTAGCCAAATATGTAAACAGTGACAAGTACCAATTTCGTACAACTAAGATGTTTTAAACAATTAATTTTGTGGAACTTACTATGAAAATAGAAACTGTGAGTTGCTATCCGAAAGTTTTCGGTTCTTCCAACTCGTACAGACACTTCGTTCCAGTATTTGAATATGTCTGTGAGGAGACACATGAAGAAATGCTGAAAATTATTTCTATTCAGAAGAAATTATCGCACACCGAAACGATAAGAACCATTGTTTCGACTCGGAAATATGTGTGAGTGTATGGAAGAGTATTTCGCTGCTCAATAATAGAAGAAGGAACGGGAACGAGATATAAAAAGAATATAGAACTTGATTAACAAAAGAGATTGATGGACGAAAAAAACTAACAGTAAATAGAGAAACGATAAAATTAGAAAGGCAAGCGCCCAGGAGATTGAAGAATGCAGAAAATTTCTGAAAACATTAGTCATACTGAGACACGTTCGTTTCGATCTATTCTTGTTTTCTAAAAAAGTTTCTCCTGTGATCTTGAGGGTGATTGTACGTGAGTTCCATATTTTAGCTCCATATGAGGTTGCGCTGACAAACTTTCGTAAAACCAATATCATCGTTTAGTTCTAGCATCATGAGAATAGTAGTTGTAAAACTAATATATTAATGAAAATTAAAAGTGCAAGTATCATATCTCTTTTAGTTCGTCTAACGATATGGATATGAAATTAAAAGTTATACTTGCTATACTACTTGTGTTGAAAATCTCACAGGTATACACACAAGAAGCAGGTGATTCAGCAGTGAACGTTAATGCTGCTAACGCTAATCTTATTAGTAAGCGAGCAGCATCTACTTGTGGCGGTAACTGTCTTAGTATGAATTGTCCTTCATGTCCATGTGGTAGAAATCGAAACATACAAAATCCAGCGGTGGTGTGCCGTCGGTACAACGGATGGAGCCAATCTTGTTGTCGATGTATTATTAAAATGACGTCAAATGGAAATGCAAATGCAGTGCGTTATTATAAAGTTGGAGTGCGCAAGAATACATACGACGTTGGTTTATTTGGAATTCATGAGAGCCAGTGGCATTCATGTAACAATGGCACAGCACCGTGTGGTGTTACACAAAACTTGAACTGTGCTGAAGCAGTTTGGAAAGCGAAAAGTCACTTTTCACAATGGACAGCCTTCGCAGCCTGTCGAAAACAAAAACAATGCTAATGAACTCAATATGATATCAATAAGCAAGCCGGACACATTCATACTCACTTTTAATCATTACACTTTTGTTTCTTTTAACATATTATTTAACCATTTTAAAATAAATACTTATATCGTATTATACTTTCGAAACTTGAAATTGGGCTCACTGCCTTATACTCTTCAGCTTTTTGTTTATGTAGAACATATTCTGAACATTTTCTCCCAGGAGAAATAGAATGTACAGGAAAATAGAATAAGCGCATCTTGTACAGTAACTTCTGATCTATCATTTATACTATGTCACTACGCTAGTTCATCTCACTCTTTCAATACTTTTTTCTATATTTTGTGACAGTTCTTTTCTTTTTGGAAGATTCATTGATGCTCTGTTGGGGAAGAAGAATGGTTAGATGTCAGATAAATTTCATTGCAGGTTCACACGGAGAGTTGGAATACATAGTTGAGATTTTATTATTTTCATATGCTGACGAACTATGAGTTATTTTCGAAAAGGTATAACAACATATTTTGTAATGTCGTGTACTTTCAGTATATGATCAGTATCTTTATGAAAGCAGGACCCAATGTTGAACACTTTGGTATCAAAATAATCAGTTAAGAAAGTTCTGTAAACCCTGAAGTATTCATCAAGTTTTGGGATAGTTGCCATATGAATCTGGAGATTTTTCATGCATATAACCTCGAATTGATAAGGTCAAGTATTTGTATGTTTGATCTTCCAAGTTGACATAATCTAATTGGTCAGCAACTTTTCCGTTGTCTTCAATTATTCTACCCATAATTCGTTGTGAACGACTCTCTCTCTCTCTTTGCAGATCACTTCTAGCGTGTCTTCGAATGCTTGAATAAAATTACACTCAAATTTTATTTTAACAGCAACTTAATTTCGAGCTTTTCAAGGGTTCGTATTGCAACTTCCAATGAGATTTCATAAAAGAGGTCTCGTGATTTCGTTCAATCAATGATTTACTTTCTGAAAAATTCTGCTCAGCCGATGCACAGCAATTCACATTGATTGTTTGTGAAACTAGCACACACTCATAAACTTTTTCTCGATTGTTATTAGTGAAAAAGTTTATAATTCTGTGAATACTTAGGGTGCCGTTTGTTTATCAACAGTAGTTAATTCTCGAGTATGATCAGTTATAAGTATCGATGTTTGACCTTACGTCCTCGTTATCACTTACTGGCAGAACTTCTGGTTGATTTGCTATTCATTCATCATCAAGTGATCATAACACTTTACCAATAAATAGCGTCACTTTTCAAGTGCTATGGTATTAAGAATGGCTATAGCATACTCTCGAAAAATCCTGCGTTTAACGTTTACTTTTTTCATAGGCGTCGCAGGATGAGGTCAAAAGATTCAAATGCCTAATATTCTTTTTAAAATTTGGGTAGAAATAATCCTTTTTTTACTATCAGGATCTCACAAAAATGTGCCCGAATAATCTTACAGTAGAGGTATTCTCTGGGATCTCAACCACCAAATATACAAGTATTTTCGAATTGCGTGAAACTGTCAGAGTTTGTAGGCCATAGTGAACTATAAAAATTTTCAAGCGCAGTTTATTAATTTTCATTAATAAATAGCTATATTATGGGATAATATTTTCTAGTTTTTCGGTAGAATCATAGGAGTTCAGATGTTTTTGAAAGTGATTTCATACAGGAGTCTTTCAAATTAAGCACACCAAGTATTGACTATTATGTGTATGTGCTGATAGTTCCTGATCTTGGCTGCATTTTAAGTATAAAATATTGTGGTTTTGTAAGTATCTTGACAATATTATCCTTTGATCTATGTAGCACATCTACCACATGATAGTACACATTTTTTTTTACTAAAAACGCTTAGAAAACTGAAATTTGGAAACATAGCCATAAGTAGCATATTGTAGAGAATCGAGTGCTCTACAACATGCGCTAGATTCAAGCTCTCTCATTTGTGATCTGACAAAGTAACAAATTGTCTTTTTTTAAATGTATAAGCGAAAAGTACGTCAATTTTAGCAGTAAGTATACGCTTCATATTTTCTCAAAAGATCTTCTCAGATTATGAATTCAAATGTTTATATACTTTTCAATAAACTTATGTTCATTTGATACAATATTCAAATTATCATTCGATATAACTTCGAGCAAAATTTGGAAATATCTCTTGATGCACCATAATGAGATGACTATGTCAGTATATATCGTATTATGAATATCACAATTTTTTTCAAATTTTGAATTCTTTTTTATTTCGCAGCCTTGCTAGAGATGTTCCAATTTTTATTGAGAACGTTTAATGATATTTAATATTCAAGGAACAGTGTTTAGAAAAGACATTTATTCAATAATCTTTCAATATCAAATTAACTTCGAACCAAAGTAATTTTTTATTCAGTTATGTTGTATACACAGATATATTCACACTCTTTTCGATATTCACATCAAGTATCAAGTAGTATTGTTACTTGACATTTACTGACTCATAAATGAATTATTTTGATCCTAAACATCAGAGAATATTGGTACTAGAATACTGATGACTTTCAAGGATTGAAATATTATATACATCAGAAATAGATACTCGAGTATTTTAGTTAAATAGTTTATTAATGTTTGAATAGTTTACTCTATTTCAATTATATCAACGTAAGAATAAGTTTTTAATAATGTATATGGAAAGTTCTAATTGCAAACAAAACAAGATCTAAGATGCCGAATATACATATGCATGTTTCTTTAAGTATATTCGATGATGTGGTCAGTGATGTCTCTGTGTGTTATATTTATTTAAACAAAAGTATTAATACAAACTGAAGTACAAAGTTCATTTGGACTGTGAGCAAAAAACTTTCTTCCACAAAATTTGTGATACTACGACTCGATGATTTTTCAAGGGGAATATATTCAGGAAGCCTCTAAATGTAAAATTTAATTATTAACAACGATACAAATCTTTTAAGCGGTACTTGTGAAAGACGCGAAGATCCCTGAACTGGAAACTGATACCATTAGTAGGTCGAGCAGGGCGTGCTGATTCTATGAACACTTACGAAGCTCCAAAATGATTCAACAATTAAAGTAATTAATTTTCCTAACACCTAATGTTTTTTTTCCAACCTACGAGGATCCAAGAACGCCCACATCTTTTGGCAGCGAATAGACCTACTCGAGTTAGGTATATATCCGAAAGATTAGCTTTTATATGTTTGTCAAAGAAAAATAGCAGAGGTGTGCTTTTTCAATTGCAAATCTTATAATTGAATATTGTATATTATTCATTCGATGTAAGTCGTGACCAAACCTAATCAGTCAAATGATCATCAGATTTTGTTCAATTTAAGATATTATAATCGAGGGGAGGGTTTTATGGATTTGGATGAAAACCATTTTTAAAAATATTGAATCCTCGTTTTTTTGTGAATCTTTTATGAAAAGTTCTGAAAATCTATCCAATTCGACCAACGAAGATCTGAAAAATGGCTTGCGTAAAAATCCATCAAACTCTTCTCTCGATAGATATATCCCAAACTGAGTAAAATCAGGCGACTAACTGATTGATAAGGCGTGGTCATAGCTTATTTGAAAAAAGATATTTCCATATTTGTTCGGGTTTATTTCGAATGAGAATTTAAATATTGTATCAAATGAACATACATTTACAGAAAATTATATAAACATTTCAATTAATAATGTCCGAAGATCTTTCTGGAAAAATAAAACGTATATTTAGTACTAAAATTGACATATTCGTCACGTATATATTGAAAAAAATGTTAGCGCAATCCCTGAGGCATTAAAATGCGAACCACAATATAGCCGCTCTTTGCATTTACCAGGAGGTATCAAGAACATCTTGCACAGCAGATGGCATGGTCTCCAAGTGTTTAT